TCTTCAAAATGAGAATGGGGAGGGGAAAAGGGAAACTATAACCAGCACAACCTCTCACCACATCACCAGGCTGCAGTAATTGCGTTTGGCTCCATGGTCTTACTAAGAGCAGAACAAAAAAGCCATCTTACAAGTTAGGTACCACTATGTGTGTCAGGAGGATTAGCACAGAATTCTCTGCAAAAACAAGGCACAAGAAAGGCCAGGATCCCTCTAACCAAGAACAATCAGCAACATGTCCACATGCAAGATTTCTTTATGTCCCCCCTGGTTCCAGAAACCCTTGGCTTAGGGATTTTTCATTTTCAGCAACCCTGACGATTTGCAAAAAATATCTCCCTGTAAAACCTGAATAAACCCAGGGTAACAGGAAGCAATTAGCTTGAGGTAACACACACTATGAAATCTCCCTCAGTGATTCTAAGTGCCCAGAAGCTGAACTACTTCACTGCACACACACAGAAAAACCCTGTTGCAATCACCTCCAAAACCAAGCACTGCTGCTAGTTACTGACACAATACCTTCCTCTTCCACACGTGTTGCTCTCACAGGGGTTTACCTGGGAAGTTATTTTTGGAGAACTACAATAAATGAAAATAGCTGGTTAGGTCAAGCAGTAGACCCTCCCAAATAATGTGCATACTTCAACACTAATCTCACTGACAACCACCGCCCCCGCCCTTAAAGAAGCAGGATAACTGCCCACACATCACACCCACTCATCCTCTTCCTCCCTTGGAACGTGCAAGGCACCAGCTTAAAGCAACCTGCGTCTCAATATGTGTCATCTTGCAGATGGCAGGAATTTGTTAGCAAGTAATGCTAAGGACTTATGAGAATTCACATTTGTTCCCTTTATCTCCAGTCGTTCTTTCTTCAGAAACTTTAAATAAATAAATAATCCAGGCAGGGCTTCAAGAGGCAATGAGGTGGAGTTGCACCAGCTTTACCAGACTCTCAGAAAGAGCAACTTGCTCCCCACTGGGAAGCACCCGCTACTCTGTTGTGGTAGTTCTTAGAAAAGCTGATTGAGAAGAGTCCCACCTGTAGCACCTGATTTGAATGTTTTGCTCTGCACCAGATTTCGTTAAAAATAATAATAAAAAAAAAGGTGGGGGGAGGACAGTTTCCACATCTTGTGTCACTGGCCAGCAACTCAGAACCTTTTTGACATGGACTGTCTCACCAAAACAGCAGAAAAAAAACACAATAAGCAACACAAGTCAATCTTTATTGAAAACTTAAGTATTAATACATAACAATTCTTGTTACAATAAACGTGCTTTTAAGAATTTAAGTTTGAGCTCATCTACTCATTGAATTGCATAAAAAATAAAAAAGTATGAATTTTCACAATTGAACTGGCTCAGAATGGAATCTCCACTCTTTATGTTGATGCGATAGTTCAATGCAGGAGTGAGTGATGCTTTAAAACTTATCCTGGAAGACAACATTGACCTAAACTTAAAAAAGTACCAATATAACTGTTTGCAAAACAGTTTTAAAAAAAGTCATAAAAAGGAAACCTGTGTCTATTTCATAACAAACATGGAGAACTATTACTGGGGCCTCTTGTACTTCCATTGCATGCACTCACTTTTTCAAATCTTAGATGTGAGGGCAGCCAATAATAGCGTTACAACAAGAAAAAACAAACAAAAAACCCAAAAAACACTAACAAATCCATTCTACTTAAAACAAGTCTGTACAGCAGCCACCTAAAAAAGCTTTCCCAGTTTGCCTGCTAAGTGCCCAAAAGCCACGACAGTTTAGAAAAAGTCATGTTTGCTTTCTTGATGTTGAAACTTCAGAGCCCATAAGTCATATATAGAGTATTTTCTATCACAAATGGACCCTTACTACCTGCGGAGTCGGATGTTAAGCGTTACATTCACGTTGCTCTTGCTGCTCTCTGCAGAACACCCCCCTTGGCTCCCACGCGGCCGACCAAGGCCTGCTCCCGCAGAGGCTGCAGGGCCTGACGGCCGCCCGCAGCCCCCGCTGTGCCGCACAGGCCTCCGGCCTCAGCAAACCTGAGGGTCTCTCTCCATAGGAAGCTTAGGAGTTGGTACCATATGGGATTAGAAAGCTGACACTTCAGTGAGAAGAATCTGAAGAAGCTGAAGTCTCTAGGCCTTTCTAGCAGGTGTTGGCAAACATTTCAGGGTGAGGATTAGTAACTGCTCTCGGCCCTCCGCAAAGACGGACCTGGGCTCGTGACACCTGCAGGGGAAAGCTGGAGGGGCCCCTGCCTCCTTCCCAGTGCCCCATCCGCACCCCGTGCGCCTGCGAAGCACAGCTCCGTGGCCACAGCATCCGTCCTCCCCTCCCACAAGCTTTGGCTGAGCATCACTATTGTTCATGTTTCCAAAATGGGAGATTTCACACACACGGTATTCCCTATTCGCTGGCATCAGTTAAAGCCTAGAGTTAGTGGTAGCATCAGCTTGCTGTGCTTATCTATTGAAGCAGAAACATGTTCTAGACCTAAATTAATGTTATACAAATACTGTGTCTAAGCACTGGGGAGTGATTCCAAGTCAATTCGGACGCATTTCTTGTTCACATGCCCTAAGTGGCCCATTGCTTGAATAGAGGCAAAGCCAGAACGCTCCACCAAGAGTGGTCAGTGTTAAGTACTCTGCTCTATAAGCCTGTACCACGAACTACGCTCCGGTAACACTAAGACATGGTGGTACTTAAGGTTTTCTTTTCAGTGGATGAAGTGATACAAGGAAGGACTTCAACTAAAGTAAGGATTTTTTTGTAATCTACCACTGCATCTAAGCACTTAACTTGCATAGTACACTCAAAAGAAGCTTTCATGAACAGCATATTCCTGTATGTCTCCTAGAAACTTCAAACTGGAGATGCCTGGTTACAATAAGCACTGGCAAGATAGAGTAGTAGGTTCTCTGTTCTCCTCCCTAGTGTCTGATCAATAACCCCTACCCCGCTGACCAGGGCTATGCATTTCTGATGCCGATTGTTAGTCATTTTTATTTTGCTGCTATGTTTAAAAAACATTTTCATCAGTTGTTACAGATATAGGGAAAAATCTCAGTCAAAAATATTTTATCTAAACTCAACACTTGAAATTTGAATCAAGGAAAAAAAAAAAAAAATCTATCTTGAACGTCTCCTTGTTATTGCTGCAACAGTTATCTTCAGTTCCTGGTTTAAAGAAGTAGTACTTTTTAATCTATCATATAAAGCTGCCATTAAAGTTTTTTTTCTTTTTTTTTCTTTTTTTTCATTTTTTTTCATTTTTTTTAAAGAGAGGCTTGATCTGAAATGTTTCTACTGCACTAGCTCTTTTCATTTTCTGAGGCGCTCTAGTGCAAACACATACTGTGTATTTATTTATAAAGGAATTCTAAATAGGGAATGTTATATAAAAAGCAGGAGAGAATGTTTCATAAGACCCTCACTGTGTAAACGCCTGTTTAATGATGTACAATTTCCCCTGCCAGTTTTATACCCATGCTTTCTACTATTTGCAACAAAATACCATTAAGATAGTTATATATACACACACATATTCCCCCCTGTCCCCTTGCACTGTGCTTTTGGTTACTTCCCATATCAAACTCCTGGAGACAAGGCTCCCAGCTCCCAGCATATCATCAGCAGAACTGGAAGGTGTGATACCTCGGGAAAAAGGTACAGTTTCTCCCTCACGGATGAATCCCAAAACGCAACTTAGAAAAAAGTGCTCAAGTGAGACTGCCTAAATGGTATGGAACACTATACAGAAACCAATTCCAAGACAACACTTAGGAATCTGAAGTTGGAGCAAAGATAAGAGACTATATTTGTTCCTTACCGATGAATCTAATGCAGCATTCATGAAAGTTCTCAAAGCTTTTGTTTATTGGGTGACAAGACAGGAGACAGCGAAGCTCAGAGCTTGTTCTTTACAGCTTCTCCTCAATGAAGCACTGTTTCACACCTCAACTCTTCATTAAAATCATACTAAGACAACAAAAAATTCAACTCTACGCTAGCTAAACTGGACAAACAGCCTGTGTTAATGTTCACTGTACTCTCTGGCGCACCTGACTAGCCAAAGCTGCAAACCTACTACAGAAATGGAATCGATAAACAGACTCGAACGAAGCAATGCAGACTCAAATGGTTTGTCTGGGGTCATTCTCTGCTCCATAGAAAAATATATGGAAATCCCTAAGCTGCAGTAAGTGCTCATGAATAAGGTTTAAAGTACTTCTTGTCAACATTATAGTTATGTTCAAGGCATTAGAAATAAGGGGGCAATCCACTGACAGTGATCCATGCAAAATAATCCTAAACTTTATTAAACAAACAAAAGAACAACCACACACATGGAAGTAAAAAAATACGGAGAGTGCTTAAGGTACAAAATATTTACTGAAGGCTCTAGCCGCCAATGGGTTATCGGGTACATAAGCCTCCCACCGGGGCAGAGTACTGGAATGGCGGCATTAAATCAGCACTGATGCTACCCTGAAGTAGCTGCCAAATCTGCATGGGAGCAGAACACCCCAAACCAAAGCACAACTAGATAAACATTAAAAAACAAAACAAAACAAAAAACACTTCTGAATGGAAGTTAACCTACGAGAACACTACAGCCTGATATACCTCTGTGTAAACGCCTAAAAGGGAACGACGTTTTGTAACCACTTACTGCATATTTATTGCAGGTAGAATGTATCCAAAAGAACAAAACTGAATTTTTTTTTCTGGAATCATAAATCATGCAGGTTTAAGAAAAACCTTGATTTTATGTGCAATAGTCAAATTTAAAAATTTAAAATCTTCCCCATGACGATTTTGGTATACAAATGGGTTCTACGGGTAGCCCTTTATACCCACAGCATATGCTTTGAGGTACTCTTAAAAATCGAAGTTGTAAGCAAGAATATCAGAAATGACTCACTGCAATGAAATGCTAATCCGCAGTCGGTCTTTTACATGCTTTCAAGTGCAATTTGGGAAGGAGAAGAAGAAGAAAAAAACCCTAAAGAATACACCGAAAAGCTGTAACTGATGAATGGCTCCTACTACAGCTACAGATGTTTTCAGGAAAACTCCCCAACTCTACATTCTGGCAGCCCTACTAGAGCATATCCCTAGCCTATACTGCAAGAAGCTACTAAGGAAATTGTGTGAAAATGGTTTGTTCCCCTTTAACATACTCATCAGGCACACAAGCTTTCCTCAGAATAAGATGCAGCTGAACTCTTCCTGTTTGTGGCAGAAAACCTTAGCATTTCTTAGATTTCTAGAAAGCAAGCTGGGTCAACTGCACATACATTCTCAACTATGATACTCTCTAGGGAAAACAGCATGGATTTCCTGAACTGAGAACTAAACCAAAACGTTTTTCTATCAGTCTGTGTGGCAGTCTCACTTTGACACATCTTGCATCACATGAAAGTTCGCACTGGATACGTATCTCCCCAGGACGTGTAATCCGTTATGCAGGTGATGTTACCTCCTCCTACTCCTCACAGCAAGTATTTGCCTAAAGGAAGTTTGCTTTATTTACTGGCACACAGCATTACCTTTGTCATTTCATTTTGATTTCTAAGAATATCTGCATAACACTGAATCCATGAAATGAAAATGATACGAATAAAACTAATTGTGTACAGGATTTCTACAGCTTGTCTGACTCATTTTCCAGTCACTTCAATTTGTGTTAGTTGAAAGTGAACAGAATACATCACTTAAAAAAAAAAAAAAAGTGCCCCTTCTAAACCAGCAACTCCATCAACCCCAAAAAGGTTGAAGCACTTATCTAATGTATATTACGGTATTCTATAAAGAAACTCACTTTCATGATTCTACCTCTTAAGACCCTGCATACATTACAACAGTGCATTAGCGATACAAGTTGTAAAATACTTTTCGGTTCCTTTGGATTTGCATATGATGGTTTTTGCATCAGTCACTGCAGGTAGATTGAGCAAGCTTTGTTTTTGTGTTTTAACATGCATTCAACTAGATATGGATCAGAATAAATTTATACTCCCTTTTTATCATTATAATTGGCTAAAAAATTGCAAGACAGTCCACAAAACAGGATTTGCTTTAAGACTAACTGCTGGAGTTCCAAGATGTAAGATATGCAGCACTGGAAAATCTTCAGTGATCAGGAATTAGTAGTGTTTAGCCAAGTGTTGAAAGCATTCAGAAGAAAAGTCCTGGTTGGAGGCATGAGGGCTTCAGCACCAACTTTTAAACCTCAATTTCTTGATTGCATATCTCCCATCTTCAAACCTAGATGGGAATGAGAGAGGGAGGAAAGAGAAAATAAATAAATAAACAAACACACACACACACACAGGGAAAAGCTTAAATATGTGGAAAACTATTTGAGTATTTGAATGTGGTATTCTAATACAGCACGCTCCATGGTGCTAGGCGTATACAACAGATGTTGAAAAGTGTCATCTAGTGCTACTCTAGCACTCATCTAGACAACTGAATCACCAGTCACTAATTCTATAGGTTGAGGAACAACCACCTAGGTAAGAACTCATTACATTGGTTTTCATCCATCACCTTTATTCCAGTTTTCTTTCTATTGGCACTAGCAATCATAACTAAGGAGAAGTCACAATACTGAAAAGGTGTTTCATGTCCAATTACCAGCAGCCAAGAGCTAAATTATGGCAATTTTTTCAGTTTTTATAGTCATGTAATACTAAAATTTGGATGAAGTGAGCTCTGTATGTGAAACATTTCAGATCTGCAATCTGATATGTAGCATTGCAGCAAAGCAAGAAAAAGACATTACATGACTGGCTCAAGTGGCAAACGAGCACCCTAATCACAGAAACAAAAAAAATGCTAAGTTAAAATAAAGTTAACTTTATCACAAACTGAATGGACCAAAATTGAATGAGCTACGTTCTTTCATCCAGGTATCACAGTACTGCTGAATTCAACTCTACTAAGTTAACCCTGCAGTCCCAGATGGATTTTAATGGGAAACTTCAAAGTCGTTCGTATTCCACATGCACTGAAGAACAACAAAAATCACAGTAATTTCTGAAGACAAAAATAGGTGAAGAAATCCTAGTACATTTCTCTGCTTTGCAGAAAAAGCTATATCTCAAGCAGTATTTGGTGTAATCTTACTCAGTTAAGATGCTGCAGTACCTCAGATCACTTACCTTCTGAAAAAACTCTCCCTGAAAGAACCTGCAGTGCTGTTATTTACAAAAATAATGTAACTGCCTTCATTCAAGCCATTAACTTACACTGCCAGGATGATCACCACTGTGGGGGCACATAACTATAGGTTGGTGTTCCTGGAGCCCGATACGTGGGCATAGTAACCGGATGAGGGGCTACTGGAGTTGGGGAATGAGTTGTCAACAGAGTTCCTAGGACAGAGAGAACATTTTTTTTAAATATACATTTTCACAAATTCTAGTTACTTGAACACATGCAAGAATTGACCTTTTTACTTATAGGTTGTTCATCAGTGGTTTTAAAAATACCAATATTGTTTTTGCATCCAGCCCAAACCCTTCTTCAAACATTTCTGCAAGACAATCATTCCAATGCTTGGTCCAATGCATACAGAGACATTCATTATTTAAAAAATGGCTTTTACAGAAACCCTGCAAGGTAAGCACATTATACACTGCAAAACTCTTTGCCACAGCAAGCTTTATACGCCGCAAGAATGCCTGACGGCAGAGATACCTGACTGATACATCAAAATAAAATTAGTTCCTGTCTATACTAGTGCCAATAGGTTTTTATGAACTGGGGGATAACAGAATGAAACAGACCAAGAGAACAGGAACTTAACCTTATTCTGGAGCGCTTTATATAAACAGTTACACACACTTGTGAGCAGCTTTTTTCGTGCAAATTGAAGCATGAAACTGAAAAACTCTAAAGCTAGTTCAGTTTGTGACACATGACACATCACTAGATTTGGGATTCCTCAAATTAAATGATCAATCTGATGAGACACAAACCAGCATTTGAAAACAAGCTCAGAACCCTCGTTTTTTAAACTACTGAATTAAGATGTGGTTGGATATTTCTTTGTTTTTGAATGAAGTGTGGACATTTCTAAGCAAGTGAATATCCACTGGGTAAAACCAATGCCATCCTCTCAGCAAACACTCACATGAGACTAGATCTTGGTTAAACAACATTTTCAGCTAAGTTCACAAGGTTCATAGAACCTTGTAACTAAGAGCATGGCATTGGGAAGATGACGCCCCTAACCACCTAGTCTGGTCACAGAGGACCTCCAGTCACTGCAAGTAAATAAATCTTTTTTTTCCAACACAAAAAGAATTCCAGTTACCGATACAAGAGGAGGCCAAATTGACTTAGGAGGTTACTGCCTTCAACAACAGTGTACCAGAAAGGTATAGAGAAGATGAAGTCGGACCTGGACACTGACAAAGCAATAAGCAAAGGATACTAAAACATGTGACTTTCTATACAGCTATAAAGAACAACTACTTTACTATAAAGGTGGTAAAATATTGCAAAAGGTTGTCCAAAAAGGCTGTGGAATCTCCCCTCCTTGGAGATAACTGAAATATTGCTGGACAAGTGAGCAACTCATCTAGCTGGACACTCTTTGAGAATGACCTGAAAAAGCCCTTTCTGATCTAAATTCATTTCATTCTGCCTGGCACATCTCCAACAATATATTTTTATATAAAACAGGCTGTGTTCTGCCTCAAACTTAATAAAGAATTTCACCAAGAAAACGTAAATCTTCTAAGTACACATACCTGCTGACATTGCCATAGTAGTCCCAGCCACCATCCCCATAGTCACACCGTTTCCTCTTGGTGGTGGAATCGGAGCAGGATACATAGTTGCTGGCATGCCGTTAGGCTGCACAACTGTGGTGTGATGAATTACGTGGGGTGGTGCTGCATACAAAGGCTGTGTGTAATAAGTGCCTTGCTGTTAGGGAAGAAGAGCAAATTAAATGATTAAGTATATCTAGTGAGGAAAATAAACAGGCTGTATCTTCTTTTATAAAGGTATCATCAAATTAAAGTACTATTCTAAAAATGCAATGTGTTTACAGAAGAGAAGTCAGAGCACTCGACTATTCTGAGCCGTTCTCTTTCACTGACAAACTTCCAGCATTTAGCTCCTTTTTAAGACTTCTAGAATAACACTCAATAGCAGAGACCTCTGGAGAACTCCTCAATAGATTCTGCAGCTTCAGTTAAAAGGTGCATTCTTCACTTATTCTCTTTGTTTCTCATCTCTTCATATATATTAATCCATTGCAGAACTCTGTTATTCCTTCAGAAAGCTTTCCCCCTCCCCCCCCCCCCCGCCACTTGTTTTTGGTTTAACAAATCCAAACATACCAAGCAGACTGGGTCAATTTTGCAACATGCTTGTTAATTCTCTTTAATTCAGGCATACATGGCAGGCCAAATATCCTCTGTATAAAAGGGGACCAGACTTTTCCCCCAAACACCCAGTTTACTGAAGTGTTTATTAATTTTATTCTATTTATATTTTTCATCAATTTGGCTATTATGAGAGTTAGTATTTCTCTGAATCTTCACGGAGACTTCAGAGTAAGCTTACATCAATTTTTGTCAAAACAAGATCAGGAAACAGTAGCAGCAGCTTCCAGTGCTCATTTCAAAAACTGCTATTAAAAATCTACTGTCTTTTTGAAGAGCAAACACTTCTCAATGAGTACAGAGTCCTGCCGAGACAGGAAATGTAAATGCAAGCAAACAGAGTGTATGAAGCATTCTCATAAAGAAATAAATGTAACATAAGACTAATAGTTCAAATAGTTATTGCCTTGAAAACAAAATGCTATGGGAACAGCAGAAAGGTTCGGGGGGCTTGCGGATTTACCTGTGCATACGGATTCTGCTGTGGATAGGCACTTCGAACTGGGTACACAGCAGTCTGATAGGGATTTGGCGACGAAGAATACGGTGGCACTGCGCCACTGGTGGGTGAACAGGATACTTTATATGGGGTGCCTGGGGTATAACCTGAAACAAAGTTAAGTCTGCATTAAAAATATGAAAAATAAGTGTCAGTACATTACTTAATAAGGTTAAGGTAGCAATTTTCTTAAGTGTCTTAATCTTCTTGCCGTATGTGAATATTTAGTAGGCTACCCACAAAGCCCATACACAACTTAGATCTTTTCTATAACTCTGGTACCAGTCTGCCTGTAATATTTGACTATAAGATTATACTAAGGTTTAGAGCAGGAATACAAAAGCGTTATCAGCGCTACCCACTGGTAAAGAAACTGAGAGCAGCAGAGAAGAGCCCTGACCTATTCTGAGAAAAGGTCAAAGCCTGAGTCTGCACTACTGCTCTGTGCTGGAATGATCTCCTGGCTCATGCAGACCCTCCACGCTAGGTCACAGCATTCTCAGCAAGCAAACCTCTGCTCCTGCCCATGGGGACAGATCTCAGAACTGATGCAAAGCAGCCACCACCCAACTTTGGAGCAGCCACCCCTGCGTATTACAGGAATTAAGTCCAGAAGTCCGGCAATTTTCTCCCTCCTTCGCAAAAATAAAGAAAATCCACACTGACAAAAGCAGCTATTCTTCAAAACCCTATTGCTGCACGTGATTTTGTACACAGATTTCCCTTAAATTTACTGAACCAATTCCGACTACTGCATAGTAGGGATGGAGATTTGTCCAAAAATCAAGAGGATAGTTTTAAGCGTTACGTTAACTCAGAGGACATTGGTAACAGCCATCCTTATAAGTAACTTTAATATATTTAACAGCTGTTAATTATATGCATTTAATAGTTAGGGGGGGAAAAAAAAGTAGTCTTTAAAATTGTTTAATAATCATGGCTTTGGTTTCTCTTCACCCAGCTTTTAAAACCTTTCCAAAAGCTGCTGTTTCAGAAGTTCAGTTCTATACTAAGAAATCCCACTTAAGCAATGGAAGACATTGACAGCTGCTTTAACAACTAAGCACAAGGACTGTATGGATAATGAATATATGCTACACAGTGTGCAGAGAAAGAATTAGTTTTAAGAATTAATTTGACATGGTGAAGTATATGTATGAGGATTCTGTCAGCTTCAAGATCAGTCATATCTAAAGTTCATGTATTTAGAACGTGATAAAACTTTTTAGCTAGAACAGTACTAACTAGTGCCAGAACAACACAAGAAGGAAATTAAAAACACTTGTTAATTCATATAAAAGGAAGACTAGAGGAGATGAACTTTGCTTTAAAAAACATCTGAGGCTAGAATGTTCTGACTTCAACATCGAGAAGAGATCTGAAACCATATAGCGTTCACAACACTATTTCTGTGATAGGGCAGAGAATGTATAGAGTGTGATGGCAGATCACCTTTATTCTTTTGCAGGACTATGCTTTTCAATTTTACTCCACTCATCATGCAGAATATTATCAAGTTAACTGAGGAAATTAGTTTACTATGTTGTTTTTAATAATATTTTCAAACCTTCAGACACATCAAAACAGGCCAACACAGCACTAATCCAAACTCTGTTGTGCTTTGTATGACTCCTCCGTTAGCTGAAAAATAGGCCATGCTGGGGAAAGAACCTTACTGCAGCATGGCAAGGTACCTGCATCTAGCAAAAAAGCAAAAACAAACAAACAAAAGGAAGAAAAAAACCCCAAACACCCCCACACAGTAAGTTCCAAAGTGCTGGCCACACAGCTTTAGCACTGAACTACAAACCGTAGTTCCAGCAAAGCCTTCATTCTAAAACCCAATCCACCAATACAGCTGCACAGGCAATTTGACTTGGATTCTGTGAAATGGTACATCTGTATTAGAAGCCTTCTGCCTTCCCACTTATTTTTTCCCCTCTCTCTCTCATTGACTTTAAAAGTAAAGTAGACCATGTGATTATTCAAACACAGACCTGTGTCTGTGCCTGTTCTAAACAGCAATGTCATGGCACATTCAAATACTACTGCATGATACAACTTTAAAAGACCTCTAATATACAGAAGTATATACAACTGTGAGTGATGTTAAGACTTCATGACTGACAGGAGTCTCCTGGCAGGTAATACTGTACTTCAGAAACACTGAACTTCACAACTGCCAGCAGGCTCCTGCGACATATTTTCTCAATGGAATCACAGAATCGTTAAGGTTGGAAGGGACCTCTGGAGATCATCTAGTCCAACCCCCTGCACACGCAAGGTCACCTAGAGCACGTGGCACAGGACTGCGTCCAAGCGGGTTTTGAAGATCTCCAGAGAAGGAGACTCCACAACCTCTCTGGGCAGCCTGTTCCAGTGCTCTGGCACCCTCACTGTCAAGAATTTTTTTCCTTAAGTTCCTATGGAACTTTTGATGCTTCAGTTTCTGGCTGTTTCCTCTACTTCTGTCAATGGCCATCACTGAAAAGAGGCCAGCCCCATCCTCCTCACTGCCTCCCTTGAAGTACTTCTAGACACTGCTCAGGTCCCCTCTCAGCCTTCTCTTCTCCAGGCTGAACAGGCCCAGCTCCCTCAGCCTCTCCTCATAGGGCAGATGTTCCAGGCCCCTGATCATCCCTGCACTGGACTCTCTCCAGCAGCTCCACATCCCTCTTGTACTGTGGAGCCCAGAACTGGACACAGTTCTCCAGATGTGGCCTCACCAGAGCTGAACAGAAGGGCAGGATCACCTCCCTTGACCTGCTGGATATGCTCTTTGTAATGCACCCCAGGATACATAATACCATGAGCAAAGCAATGTAAGGAGTTTAAGAATTTAAGAAAACTGCCAAGCAGAAAAATGAAAATTTTAAAAAAGTCAGAAACCTAGAATAACTGGTAGGTTAGAAAGCAAGTGAAGTCAAGGAAGAAGCAGTGAAAGAAAGCATACAGCACAAGCATTTAAGTTTAAAATGCAGAAACAACAGCTAGAACTCAGCAGAACACATCTTAAGGCACAATCATATTCATTTAAAATTTATCAGATGATTCTTTGACTCATATTCAAAGTACTGTGAAATTTATCCCACAGCACATGTGTTACCGTAAACCACCGCAGTTGTTCCTCAGTCTTGGTTTTAACAATTACTGAGCCTCATGTTATTGCTTAGACGTACACTTTGCACATACCTGCTTGGAAGGTAGGATTTGCTCCAGGATACATATTAGGGGAATAGGCAGGAGCAGCCGCTGCATAGCCCATTGGGAAGCCAGCTAGAAAAAGAAGAGGTCAAAGTTATTTTCTAGACTAATTGCATAGTCTAGCTAAGTTTTATTCTCAATGATTCTCACTGCACATCTTTTCAGCTGAGATGAACTAATAGCCTGTTTCACAGAAATAATGAAATCCCTAAAAAAAAGCCTCAGTGACTGACTTCCCACATACGAGATGTCACAAGTGTAGAGTAAAAAGCACCATAAGCACTCCAAAATGCTCATTACATTTGACACAATTTGTTACTATGCCTCTATATCAGACAAGCTTACCAGTTTCACCAACTTATTGTGACACTCAACTGTATGTGATTCACAGCAGCAAAACAGGAGATAAAATCTTCTATACCAGAATAGAAGAAACACTATGGCTAATCTAACACTATGAAACACCGGCCTCAACTATAAACTTAAATTTTTCAGGAAAAAGCTAGTTGAAATGTATAAAGTTTGTTACGCTGAAATAACTGAAAGTGCTGAAATAATTCTAGCTTAATCTTTCAGAAACTTGTTCACATTACTCTTTCTACAGGTTGAAAAATGGGGTTATTGCCACGTTTTGTTGTCAACATAGAAAGATGACAATTTCTACACATAAAATGTAATGATTATTCATTTAACTGGTGTCATATATATCAAAGCTACTAGTTTTAAACTATTATTCAGATTTGAAGCACTTGTATTTCTCTATAAATCCCCAAGTCCATAGCAATTACTCCTAACAAAACAAGTGGTTTAGCTCAGGCCTATAAGTTAACTTAGTTTTGTAAAGCAGTTTGTAAACATAGTATTATGAAGTGCATGTAACTTTCTATGTACTAAGTTTCACAGTAAAGAAAATTCATTTATGAGCCAGATTTTAGGAGAGGAAACAGTAACAGGGAAAAATAAGGGGAAAAAAGTACTCTACCTAATATGAAGCACAAATTTTAAAATACTTTTATACTTCCAAACTGGACATACTTCCAGCAGCCAAAAGACAGTATTTGATGAACAATAATGAGAGAAGAAAGGTTAACAGTGTCAGCCAAATAGAGACAGAAATAGATAGACTTCGTTTTTTGCAGAAGGAAATTATTAGAGCTCCTGAGATACTTTAGAAGAGCTATTAAAGAACACTCAGAACAATTTATATGATTCTTGAAATCTCACTCAAAAAAACTATCACGTGTGAAGCCATTATTATTTGACCATTTCTTTTGGTTATAATAGATATCAAAGTAAATGATGTTCACTGAAATCTGGCGTTACTCACCTGGATAACCAATTCCTTTGGCATTTGCATAGGGAACCCCAGAAGATCCAGGGCTATATACAGGATTCATGATTTCAGTAACTAAATTAGGGAGAGAAAAAAAAAATTACTCCAGTATGGGGAAATCTTGAATTGTCAGCAGCACCATGGAACTAGAAAGGAAAGAAACACAATGCAATTTTACTACTCATCCCAACAGCTACAAAGCAAGACAGGGTCAATTCAGAATTAAGTTTCAAAGCACCATGAACCTTCAGATAGAGAATCTCTCAAGTACAAAGTGTTCCCTGTTGTAAAGCATATTTTCATAGTTTTCCATCCCTAGGTGCTGCCACAGAACACAAATCTACTAACCCAGTGCAGCAGTTCACACTAGATTCTCTATCTGTGCACGTCTCCTATCAGTCTGAGTCTCATCCCATTTCTTGCTTTAATCATCTAGCCAAGAGATGTAAATATTCACATTCTTCTACTACTGGCATTACAAACCTGAGATTCCAGTCCGTTACCAGCACCATCAGCAGGTCAATTATTACAGAACTAAGTGGAAAAAGATATTCTGTATTAGAAAGCTAATTAAGTAATTTACTGCTGTTAACTTTCCAGGAGCATATGACGAGTTGGCAGCTGGGTCCAGTCATTTCTGAATTATGGATTCAAACCCCAAGAAGGCACCTATAATTAGCATCGCTGGCAGGAACAAAACTGAACCTTCAGTGCTCAAAGCAAACCTTGCATGTAAACACCAAGAGGGTATTGAAGATGCTTTCTCAAGGTTTTCTAGCAAGCTTTTGTTATAGATTAGAAATAACTGCACAGCAGTTATAAGCACCACGTGCTAGAGGACTGTCATTTTAATCCCTCTTGCTTGGGTTTCTGATACTCTTGTGCATATTTACTGATCTACCTCTTCTCAATACAAGTGCCAATTTTTCACTAGAAATGGTCTCTCATGGAAAAACAGGGATACGCCATCAAACCAGACTTTCTTATCAACCACTAATACCTGATATTTGAGTTACTTCTCCAGCTGTATCTTGAGATATCTGAGCCCACCTAGCAAAACAGAACACCAAGCAGTTTTACACTACAGTTATACAAAATTTTGTAAATATAAACTTTATGAAGTAAAATAAACTTCATAATTACATCTGCACTAGTTCAATCACTGAATGTGGTCTGACAGGAATCTCTGTTTGTAAGTGTTTCTTCTTTGCCCAATAAACCTCAGTTAAGTAAGTACATAAAACAAGCAGTATGTAGCAGATTGCTTGTTAAAATGAACAGTATTAGGAACAGCTCTGTGGCAAGATTTTTAGCCTTATCTAACATGCCACAGCAGATTCAAAAGAAAGATTTTTGCAACATGAAGAATTTAGGAATTAAAACCATATCAACTCAAACTCAATGTACAAGAATTAAAGATTCATCAATTTATCGGATTTTTTTAAACCTAAGTACAACTGCTAAAATAACCTAAGTAGAATTGCTTTTATGTGCAGCATCATAATTGATTACATTACAGGACAATAAAATAAATTAAAAACAAGCTGTCATTATACTGCCTAATATCAAGAAAGTTCCCTAAAGCAGTTATTTTATATAACCTGATGCATATTTTATACACCAAAGCAGCTTTAATTACCTGACCAACATGGAAAAAAGCAGTTCAGCAGAAATCTCTTTGTAAATATCCCACAACAAACAATTCTTCCTTAAGTGTCCTTCTTTAAGGACATTAGAATTAAGAGTATCACATCAGTGCCTTTATCAGTCAACCTATGGTGTCATTCTAATATTTCATCCTAGCAAGATTTTTTTTTCTCCCCCTCTCTCTCCATATTTTACATATCCTCCTTTCTAAACACTTTCATTTACTTGACCACTTTGAGACCCTCCTCTTATGATCTTCCCTGCATTCCTTTCTCAGTCCTGTCTCTGCCTCTGTTTCAAAGTTGACTTCTTGCATTTTGCCTCTAAGCTTACAAAACTCAGGACAGGTCCAAACTTCAATGCAGCACTGGCATGTTCAAATTATGAAATAGAAGTACTACTGGAGACAGCTGTATCTTTCCATCCAAATCTAGAATAGCCTCTCTCACCAACCCTGTATCATTACAAATACACTCACGCTTCCCCGCACAGTCTCTGCATTGGTTAGAAGGCCCTGTAGCCCGGCCACCACTTTGAACGGCAACAAAAAGGAAGGAAAAAAAAAAAAAAAAGAAAGGAAGAAAGAAAAAAGCACACTTGCAAGTTCTAATGCAGACAAAGCTTCAGATCCAATATTAATTAAAAATAATTATTTTTAGATCTTCTGTGAAAGACCCGACATGTGCAAATATAATTACACAGCATTACCCAGTGGTTGCAATCATCCCATCCCTACCATAACTTACTTGGAAGGGCATCTGTTATATTGAAATGTGGAACCTTGCAGTCCCCTCTTCAGTAATGCTTGAAGTCCACATCAAACACTGGGGAACGAGTACAAACTGAACCCAAGGGAACATGGTTTTCAACCCTTCTGGTGGCATCCACTCCAAAGCATTCTCATGTTAATGGTATGTAAATAAATGTCTACTGTGCATCATCTGTATATACATTGCACACAGTCAACTGCATATAAATTACACAAAATCAGCTAAACAGTCTTTCAGCTGAAGTGCAGGTAACCATTCTTACTGCAGATGTTCTCATTAGAGACTACTGAAGAACATTTGGAAAGTGTAAACGGTTCATATTTCATTCTTGCCAGGGCCAACCTTTTTTTTTCCCCCTAGAATTATTTTACACAAATACATACAAAAAAACATTATACAGCACTAAACTGCACATTTCTTTAAAACAGGTGTATTTTCTCACTATTTATTTTCAAAGCTGTGTGGAAAAAACTGTGAGAACAAGACCTACTGAATGCTATTTTGTGGTTATTTATTACAGAATTCTATCACAAGAGTTGGGGAAGAACATCCCCCTCAACAAATATTTTGCCAAAAGCAGACATAATGCAGTTCACTAACATTTTTGTTCTTCAAATTGAGAAGACTCATTCTGAAAGATTAAAGCATTTAACACTAGCCCATCCTGGAACAGTTTAGGAAGGCTATCTGTTTGCTATGAAACCCTACAAAAGACTCACTTACCACTTAGCAGGCATAAAGTTAATTACCACCCTAATAATTTTCTGCATTCTACCCATTTGCTTCCCAGTCTAAGCTTAATAGAAATAAAATGCAACACCTAAAACTCCAGTAGCTTATAGCCTAAAAGCAGTCAGTTCCACTGCTGAATAAGGATATAGTTCCAAACACTTCTACTCTCAATTAATTGGCACTGATTAAAGACTCAGCTGCATGAGGATTCTGTCAAGACTTCAGCCTCTGAAATACAAGCTTCGATGCATGTCCTGAAGAACACGCGCTTTTGTATAATTACTTTAAATAAAGCGGCACATACCGGCAGAATCCAAGACTTACTGAAGTCTAAAACAGCACTTCCCACACTGCATTCGGTACTTGCAGGTAGTGCAAACTCACTCATTCCATTTCTCCAATACCTCAAAACAGGTCGCTGATTCTCCCGGGGGAAAATAAATACCCCTCTGCTGGTGACAGAACATAGGTCTGCCTTGACCCCGCCTGAGTCGATGCTTACACAGGCCTGCCATACTTTCCCCTTGCAGCGACCCCATTCCCTGCTTTGAGCCAGCTGTGCCACTCCAAACCCTTGAAATAAGCCAGGTCAGCTAAGTAGGTTGGCAGAATTCTGTTTTTTGTTGGGTTTTGTTGGGCAGAGAGTTGCTGAGTCTTCTTTTTCCTCCCCCTCGCCCTTACTAACTTAGAGTTGAAGCACATCACCAACGGTAAGAGAACACCAGTTCCAACTGGTGACAGCACAGAATTAGGTTGTGGAACCACAGCCTGGAAAAGAACGATGAACGACTTTGCCCAAGTTCATACATCAAGTCAGAAACAGAGCTGGAGAAGTCACCTGTGTGCAAGTTTTCCCCCCTAGCTCGCATTACAAGATGTTCTTTCCATGAACAAGAAACACCTGCAATTCCCCTTTTGTGGATATCTTGGTGTGCATGTGCACGCTCTTTAAAAAAACTTAAGAGGAAACAGAGCCATTAAAAGAGTTTTAATCCTCTTCAATCAACAAAGTTCTCATTTATAAGTCTATTCTACTAGTGCTTTCAGAACTTAAGACAAACAGAACCAAAAAAACTCTTATGTTAAAACCAAGGCTATTTGTGCCCAGCATTAGTCAAGGCACACACAATATGATTACACATT